GGGACATATTCCAGAATTAGGATTCAGTGCTGAACATGGTAGTTTTATGCGTCATCCAGGTAGTCAAGAATGGGAAAACCTTGCCGAACAATTCGATATGGGTTGGCAAAAGGAGGTTATGGAATGTTTCCAGAAATATACCGAGAAAACTCCAGGTTAGTAATATTTCTATTCAATAGATTTTTTGGAATTTCTAGCTAACCAAACTAGGCTCTTTCATTGAACGCAAACGTTGCGCTTTGACATGGCATTATCGTCCTTCAAACCCAGAATTGGGTGAACGCATGTCTCGTGAATGTCAAAAGGAACTCATGGCCACTGTTGGTAAAGCTTGGGACGTCGAAGTCATGACTGGTAAAGCAAATCTCGAAGTTCGTCCTACTTTCATCAACAAAGGATCAATCGCCAAACGTCTTGTTGATGCTTATGGAAAAGAAGTGGGACAAGCTCCTGAATTCACATTTTGTGCAGGTGATGACACGACAGATGAAGATATGTTTAGATCTCTAAACAACAGTGAATTGGATGTAAATCATGTTTTTACCGTCACTGTGGGCGCATCAAGCAAACCAACATTGGCTACATGGCATCTTTTGGAACCGTCGGATGTTATTAGTAGCATTGCACTTCTTGGGGGAGGCGATACAAATGTAGCGGATTTAGGACCGGTTAGTGTCATTGAAGGGAAAGCCCGAGAGGATATGATGGGGAAGTTGGAGGCATTGGATATGATTCCTGGAGCACCTAGTACAGGTGAAGGAAGATAGGTTGTCGTGTCAGGTGCAAGGGAAGGATTGTTGGGTTTGAATCTTTTTGAGGTATGGGCATAGCGTCGGATCGGATAGGTCTTAGAAGGAATTATGAATAGTTAGAAGGATTATGAAATGGATGATAGGTTGATTGGGGGTAGATTTGGCAATTGGGGAAGTGGGGATACATGGACATAGGATAGGATAGAGCGTTGTGACGAGATACGATACGATGCGCTGTGAATAGGGTGATGGGATCTTTCAGCATGCGGATACCGAATAGAATCAGCAGATGAGTATACATACCGGGTGTATAGGTTGATGCAATGAGGGATTTTAATTATTTAAGTAAATACTTTGATGATAGAATTTTTATATTTACCAAGTTGTGGTTAGATGAATTTGTTGATTTTGCATTGGGGAAATTTTGTGTGTAACTTGTTGTTAGTAGCTAAGCTAAGCTAGTATGATTCTTTTGTACCTATCTATTGAACAGGAGATAAGAGGAGATGGGATATTTGATGATTAGGTAGGTAGGTAGGTAGGTAGGTAGGTAGGTAGGTAGGTAGGTAGGTAGGTAGGTTGGTAGGTTGGTAGGTTGGTAGGTTGGTAGGTTGGTAGGTTGGTAGGTTGGTAGGTAGCTGTGGGTGGTTATAGAGGTTATGAAGGTTGGTTATGTGTGGGTATGGATAATTATATATGGTTATATGTAGTTATATATGGTTATATGTAGCTATATGTGGTTATATGTGGTTATGTATAGTGATGAAGAGATAAAGGGTATTATGTTTTTCTGGGTTGAGGGAGATGGAGTAGTGAGTGATGAGAGGGGAGGGAAGAGAGCGGGAATAGGGAGAGAGGGAGAGAGAGATCGAGAGGCAGTAGTATATCATATCAAAAGAGTATAGTTGATTGAAAAAGTGATCTACTGAAAGAGAGTGAGTGATAAGTTAAAGAGAAGTGGCTTGGTGTTTGGAGATCTGGATGATTGTCTCTTGCTAGGGAGTTGGAGATGGAGGTAGAGGTAGAGAATCGATGGTTGATTTATGGATAGATTAGATTTTAGGATTGATTTCCTTTCTTTTCTTTTTCTTTTCTTTTCTTTTCTTTTCTTTTCTTTTCTTTTCTTTTCTTTTCTTTTCTTTTCTTGAGAGATAGGATTGGAAAGGGAAGAGGGGATGTTGGTTTGAAGGAGGAGAAGAGAAGAGGGTGTGTGTATGTGTATGTGTGTGTATGCGTGTGTATGTGTGTGTATGTATGGGCCACTCCTTTAGATTAGATTGGATTGGATTAGATTGGAGAGAGGAGGAAAGGAAAGGAAAAGGAAAGGAAAGGAAAAGGAGATGTGAGATGTAATTCTGATTGATATGTGATATGCTTGAGATGTTGAGAATGGGTAGATGAGATGGTGGTTGGGGTGGGGTTTACTTTTCTTTACTTTTGGGGGGAGATGGAATTGGGGGAAGAAGAGAGGGTACTTTGGCTTTTGGGGGAGGCAGTGGAGGTGTGGTATATGATTGTAAATACTCAGTAATGTTGGAACAAAATCGAAAGTGTCTCAACCACATGTAACGAACAAATGAGATAGATCCGTGGCTGTGCTGTGCTGTGCTGAGTTACTGGGTGGGTATCGTGTTGGGATGGAGGTAATCTATCTGGTTCCTATAAGTCATGAGTTCGGATTTTCTCGGATTCGGTAGGTGATATGTGGGAATCGTTGGGGGAGTTTTTTTCTTGGTTGTGAGAAGTTGTTGTGGGTGGTGTTGGTGTGAATTGTGGTATTTTTTCATGAATACCTTGGCATCTTTTTGTTATAGCTAGTTTGGAATTTTGATATTTTGCTGTATGCTTTTGTTCGGAAGAGTGATGATTAAATTATATATAATATGAGTCGGGAAAACATATCAAAGGTTGTAGGGAAAGATGGTGTGGGCTTTGAGTTGGTGAGGAGGGGATCTGGGTTGTGGGTTTGTATGATTGGTGTGATGTGTAGCGGTGGGTAGAATGGGATGGGATTGAGGTGTGAATAGAGTGGTTCTGTATGTGATGAGGTGAGATAGGGGGGAGGAGGGGAGAGGTCTTTGGCGAGAGGAAGGGAAAGAGAGGAGGGGGTGACGTGAGATGGAGTTGGTGGGATTTGAGACTGAGGAAATAATGTATAAGATGATGAATATGAACAAGTGAAAATGTTAAACAGAAAGTAAACATATCTACCTATCTATTCAGTATCTAGATATCACACCCTCCATCTTCATTGCAGTTGTATATAAACTCTGTACTTGAGATTTGGAATTGATTCAATAAATTCAGTCCACCGAGTCCTCTTCCAAGTCCAGAAAGATTATTCTTTACAGCTGAACTCAGCTTGCAATATCGCGTCCTGCGATAAATTGTGTGATTCTCCTAATTAGCCACGATGGGGACAAGTTATATTCGGTGGGTGATGCGTGAATTTTTGTTGTCATTTCTCGCGGTGGCTTTATTGTCAATGGTGTTTTAATTGTTTCACTGTCGTTGTAATCAATCTGGATTTTGGGGGTATGATGACTATGCTTGCTTTTGCAGAATAGGGGCCGATTAACTTCTTTGTTTATTTTGTTTGAGGCATTTCGAGGGCACCAGGAACACCCTATGGAAATAACGCAACAGACGAGATGGTTGGTTTGGATTTTGGAAGGATAGTGAGGAGGTGATGGGTTCTATACCTAGCTCGATACTGTAAAAATCCAGAATACGGGTAGCAAGTCCGAAGGAAGGGTGGAGAGTGAATGATTAGGTAGGCACCTACGTAGTAGATAATTATTCCGAGTAAAATCGGTAGATAATAGGTATTGAATTACTCCATTCGCAGTTGGTCCACAGCTGACATGTTGAACCCTTTTGGGCGAATGGTAATTCATGAAGTGCGCTATCTTTTCGAATAGAAAAATCTCAAGATGTGCATATATAAGAGGCCCGAGTAACGAAACTTGAGATCTGCAACTCCGAGGTCACAAGCATGAAGAGGGTGCTCTATTTGATAGGTGGTAAAAACTGCATTTAAGACTACTTCTGATTCGTGAAATGTTCGTGACCCCTAGGGACTCTTTCATACTCTTGGGAGTAGTATCTTGGTATGTTCACTGTCATTCTATAACAGTCATCTTGTATCTTTTACTATCATTTTATGCGTTCATTATTGTTTGATTCGCATCAACTGTCATGATACAATCTAACTTCTATCAAGAGAAATAAGAAAACTGATACCGTTGAACTTCAATCTTAGGGACGTTTCTAAGCGAAGCATAAGAGAGCGCCATACTGATATGACCATCCTGTGTAGCAAGCATATAAACTGTAATTTTGTCTAACCATATTGCATAGATGGGTTCAGCGACTTTTATAGCCTACTCCAATTTTCTAGTTCCTTTCAATTCACCGTATCACTTCTTGATCTACTTTCCGAATTCATGTGAAAGTTGAGATATCAGATGCTAGTAGCATTTGTTGCACAGAGATCTTTCTATTCTATTCTTGGTGAGACTCTTCACAAATCCTGCGCGAATGAGAGTTTAATGTGCCAATTACCTCTCTATTCAACATATTACACGAAATCTTGCCATTATTTTCTTTATGGGACACAACCTTTCCAGAAAAGACCGCGGAAATTGAGTCAGTGACTTAATCATGTCCTGATATCGACGAAAATACAGGTGGTGGTATGTTGGGAGATTGCTCATTGCAGTATCTGGATACATTGGAGAGGCGCAGGAGATGCAAGGACTAAGGATGAAGTGTGGTCACTAGCTGGATGTCGAATGCTTGTACCATTGAGCAAGAGTAAAAAGGTAGATGGCCCATGTAAACTCATGGGCGGAGTTCGTATCCCGGAAATCATGCAAGGAAAGAGGTCAGGTGGGAGTAGAAGGGTTGAAGATAAGTTTGAGATGGATTCTATTTACTATGTAAGTCTCTTTGAACTTATGTGATTATCTATACCCACATTTTGAGATGAGTATGTATCTTGTTCTAAATTCGATTCGGTAGATCTTGTTTTTCGATCTTGTAGCAAGCTATCAACTCACTAGCCAGTACCAGTTCCCGTTAGTAATATGCACAAATTTCCATAAATAATTTCGAAATTGTTTCCTCCTCTTTTCTTGATATCCTTTGCACATTCAGTCCTACATTATCATCTTCACACATAATATTCTACTTGAAACAAAAATCAAAATACAATCAGAACTAACTGCTATCAACTACAATATTACAATGGTCGATATGACAAGAATGCAAAAAGCGAGTTTTATCGTGTTGTCTGATACACACGATTACCAATTTCGCGATAATGCATCAAGCAAGTTACAGCTCCTCGTTCCAAAAGTCGATGTTCTTCTCCACTGTGGAGATTTAACACATGTTGGAGGTATTCCCGTCTTCAAGAAAGCACTTAAAATGCTCAGAAACTTTGATACAGAGCTTAAACTAGTCATCGCAGGAAATCATAATTTAGAGCTCGATGAAGGATGGTACAAAGCACACCCCGAGGAAGACGAGGACTACCTTGACGATCATGCACGAGCCATGGAGGTGATGAAGGGGCAATTAGCGAAAGAAGCGGGGGTTACTTATTTGGAGGAAGGAACACACACTTTCAATCTTCAAAGTGGTGCGACATTTAAAATCTACGCTTCTCCATACCAACCCGAATTCGTTGATTACGCATTCCCTTGCGAACGTAACAAAGATCGTTTCAATGTATCTGGGGAAACTGCAGAGGGTGCCATTTCTATCGCTGAGAATCCTATCCCGGCTGGTGTGCATATTGTCATGACCCACGGACCACCAAAGGGCTTTCGCGTTGAGAACTTAGGCTGCGAGAATACCCTTCGCGCAGTCCAACGTGTGAAGCCTTTGATGCATTGCTTTGGTCATATTCATGAGGGGTATGGTGCGAATAAAATCGTGTGGGAGGATGATGAGAAGAAAGCAGAGGATGATATGGTCAACGAGTATCCACAAGCTATGAACTTGCATATTGAGTCTGGCAAAGAAACTCTTATGATTAATGCGGCGATTCTGGATGATGAACATCAGCCTACCAATGCTCCCTGGATTATCAACTTGGACTTGCCTTCTTCGTAGCCCAACATATTCCGCGTCCATTCGACTTATCGATGACAAGAATGGTGTTTTTAAAGAGAACGGGGTATCCAATAGTCCTAACTGCAGTTCAACGACATAACATTTTGAAGGTCTAAAAGCAGATAGAAATTCGAAAACAGTTCAATACTGTAATCAAATTCAGTATCTCAAATGACATGAATATTTTAATTGGTTTGGGGATTTGATATTCTTTGTTGCTGGACTACAATTTGGACTATTAAACACTCTGAAAGAGAAAATCTGGATCAATTCAAGCTATGCGACAAATATCGTCATTTCAATTTTGCGGATGTGTTAGCCCCTTTTCTCCCATAACCCGATATTTCCTATCTGATATATACGTTATTATACTTTGACAACCCGTCAGAGTTACGGTTCAATGTTATTACACTGTCAAAGCAATTCAATTATCTAATATTTCAGTCTAATGGCACTAGAAAGCGAGACTTGACTCTGATGTCTGGAATTCATAGGACAATGGTCACATGTCTTGCTTCGTGCCGAAATTGTACTACAGTTGCTATTTATTTAATGGAGACTGAGTGCTTTCTGTGTATCTGGATTGCACTCTGCTTCCGTCATTCTTAAGGTTGTCGAAACTGAAAGGATTGGAAAGATCAATAACCTACCTCAAGATATGTTGTTCACATCTGAACAATGATTAGGCCTTTGGACAAAGGCGATAGTGAAAGTATGACATGCAAGTTATTGTATTTGAGACAAACTCTGTGGCACAAGTCCTAGTACGACTTCACAACTTAACAAATGCCATCCTGTGTTGCGTCGCAATTACAATGCGATTTGTAATTCTAGGCTGAGCTCAGACATATCAAATGAATGAGACAGTGATCGAAATATTCAGATACAAGAAAGGCTATACCCTATTCTTATCTTCATTTCTTTCTCTAAATATTGCCCTGCTTCCATCTCAAAATGTTGCTCTTGAAAATCTTTGCATTCATCATCACTTCAAGTTCAGTTGAAGCATCTGGGGGAGATCATCATGGCCGTCCCTTCCCCGACCATCTCCACCTTCCTTACGCCCCCCGCCAACTTTTCCAAGACCTCATCCCAGAAACCCTTCTATCCCTGGATCAATAGTCGATCTCGGTTACGAACTTCATCAAGCCATCGCCAATGTCAGTACCCCTTATTCATTCCCATTCGGACCAGGGTATCCGATAGCCTGGACTACACTCCAACAATATGAGGGTTTGAATGTCTAAAAGCAGTCAGAGATCTCAAAATAGTTCAATATTCCAATCATATTGAACATCTCAAATGTTCTAATTGCCTTGAGGATTTGACAATCTTCTTTGTCGGACTGCAGTTTGGACTATTGAACACCCTACCCTTTCCCATGCTCTTACTAACCAAATCCCCATGTAGTCCACTGGCCACTACAACAATTTCAGCAATATTCCCTACGCTATTCCACCTCTCTAAGATCTTCGATTTCCAAAACCTCTTCCTATAAATAGTACTTCTTCACATATCAATGATGGTTCCATCGGACATATATGTCCACAAGCTCGTCCAGATTGGACAGTGAAAGAAGGAGATCCAAATCGCGGCTTCATTGGACCTGAGTTTGCAGTTTATAAAGATGGTATTGTGATTCTTGGATCGAAAGAAAATGGAAGTATGATTGTACCGGAAGGAGAAGTTAGGGTAGAGGAGGATAGGTGGGTTGATCAAGGAACGAGAGAGAGACGTAAGTGGTGGGGTGAAGCGCGATATTGGGATGGATATGAGGGAGGTGATGAGAACGGGGATGGTAATGAAGACGGCGGGAATGAAAACGGCGGGAATGAAGACAATGGAAATGAAAACGATGGAGACAACAACGAAGATGACGGAAACGAGGATAATGATGATCAAGACAACGAGGACGACGATACACAGTCCAGTCTCAGAGTCTACATATCTCACAAAACAATCCCACGCCCATTAAGGAACTGGAAAAATAAACTCTCTTCATCTCAGCTTCAAAACACCGACTCCATCACACCCACATTTTCTCACATCTTCAAAATCAGGAACGATGGTAAGAAAGCGGAATGGCATGCGGAGTGGATATCTAATTGGATGGATAATAGTGACAAGGCTTTCAAAGATGCTAAGGGAAGTGATAATAAAGGAAAGGATAGTGAGATTGAAGAGAAAGAAGAGTTGAGATAATGCTGGAGGTTGGACTTCGGGAGTTTCAGAGATCAGTTACTTCACAACAGAGTTTGTTCTATTATATCTTGAATTTGGATCTTCAATTCACTCGACTAATATCGTAAACGAGATATTGTGAATAGGAGAGTAATTCCCATCATCATTTGCTAAGTACCTGGATTGGTACATGTTGCATTCTCCCACTCGTTTATCATGATATTGAGCTATTCGAACGACAATTTAATAAGCAATCGACCCTGATTGTTCAAAACTATAACAAACATTAAGATGGTTTAAAACACTCTGCCCGTTTGAAATAGTACAATACAATGGCATCATTTCTCCCCGCCAATCTTTACTTACCAAGTCACGGAAGCATCAACCGTAGTCTGACACGAAAATCAAGAGATTTCATCCTAGAATCACTCTCCCTCCATCTCCAAACCCCTTGGTAAGACATGCCTACGCTCGAATTTCGCTTGAAGCCCAATCTACAAACCCGTTCTCCCCACACCAATTAGAGATAGAACCCTCAACCTCGATGCAATCAACTCTTTCAACACCTTCTCCGATCACTCTATCAACATCAGGAATTTCTCCTGCTGACCACAGCCATCATGCGCCATACCCATACTCATATGCAAACCCACGCAAAAATACAACCTCACCTCAGCACGCTCTCATCTCGTGGTCCCAATGCACCCAAGCATTCATACCTACCTACACACATATATACATACATGCATACCACTCTGTTCACGAATTCCAAATCCATCGCTAAACCCATGAAAAATATCACAAACAAAAACAAGTCCATAGACAGCGTCGCAAATATCCACATCATCTCGTGTTATAACTATTATCGCACTCCAATCCATCATGGATAGATAGATAGATATATGAACATCAAGTTTCAACGAGATGTTTTCCCAGTTTCTCACTATATACCGTATCATAACGAAATACATCCAACCATGCAACCAACTATCCAACCTCCCATCCACCCTCTCACACCCAACCCTTCAAATTCCCAGCCCCCCAAGAAAGCAAAAGATCGCCACCATTCTCATATCCACATACCCACTTACCCCTCCTTTCCCTTCCATCCTCCCAAATCCATATAAACAAACCCAAACCACTCATCGCACCTCCATCTCCACTTCTCTGCATAAGCACAGATACACATCCCGACTCCGATCCCATGCCATCCAATCCACCTCTCTTCTCTTTTCCCTTGCCCGAACTCTGATGTTCGTATCTGGGGCGGAATCTTTTGTGTAGAATCTTATCCTATTACATGTTAGCTTTCCCGCAGCCCCGTTTTAATGCTTATGAATATCATTCATGTCATTCATGTCAAGATAAAGAATCATTGACTAGAAATTCTCGCATACATGTCGAAGGATACATTCCCACTACCCAGTTTTCTAAGTAACTACTTATCTACCTATTACTAAATATGTAGCTCCGCCGTTGAGCCGAACGATGATCATAAATAAGCTTATACGTTATAAACGCGATTCGATCGAGACTCTACGGATGCATACAACCCATCGTATTGGTATCCATCCATCTATCTCAATATGGATCCCCATCCCAGAAGTTTCATACATGATTCCCATCTTTATCAATCTATGATTTTCCATACATAGATGGAGATAGAGATGGAGATGCACGAAGACGAAAATCATCCAGCATGCAATCTCCCGCCTACGCAATTATCTCATCATACATACGGTACAGCTTTCTTCTTCCAGCTTCATTCATGCCTAACTGTGAATCCTCAAACCTGTCCCTTCCCTTCTTAACCCTCTTTTCTATTTCCTACTTGCCTTATCACTTCATCTCTATGCCCATCTGTTTCGTACTTATCTGCTTGCTTTCTCACTTCCCTCTCCCCCTCAACCTCAACTTCAAATACAAACCTCCCGCACACTCTCACACCCCTTACACACGCACCAACCCCTCACCAGTTCATCAAATTCCAACTCTCCCCGCCCCCTCACACCTTCATCCTCTCCACTCTCACTCTTACTCCCTCCCACTCTCCACCCTCCCCTCATGCCCCTCACACCCCACCAATCAAATCCACTCTTCCAAACCCAAACCCGAATCCAAACCCACGTACCCCTCACACATACAAATCTGAAACATATCCTCTCGCAACCAACCATCCATCCATTTTTCTAAAATCCTCCCACCTCCTCGTATCTCCTCTTACTTCCCTTTGCGGAACTTACATCTATAATCTTTGCATTGCAAACCAAGGAAATGAGAAAATGAGACAATAAGCCTGTGCATCTCAAAGCTCATGCTCTAGTTAGCCCAGCCACCGGTTCGCATAGTAATGGCATAGTAATGGCATAGTAATGGAATGGTAAAACCTACCAACCTACGTCCAGGATCCTTCCCCATCAATCAACAAAACACCATACACATACACACACCAGACTGTCCCTCTCCCATCCCCCTCCCATCGCATGATCTCAGCATGATCTCAGCATCTCAGCATCTCATCCCGTCTAACCCCGATATCTTCATTCATCTCCAATCCCCATCTCCAATCTCCACCTCTAACCCCCCTCTCCAATTCCCATCTTCCCTCCATCAATCTTCATTTCACATCCCCTCGCCATCTCACCATCTTCCATCCCATCCAACACCTACCCACCTACCCACCCATCCAACTCAAACTCCTACGTCACGAACACTCCCCTCCCCTCACAATCACTCTAATCCCCAGCCAGTACTCTGATCCCGTTCCCCCCATCCCCCTCCCCTCACCCCCTCAAAAAAAAAAAAAAAAAAAAAAAAAAAAAAAAGCAAAACCCGCAATCGCAAAAGCACAACCCGCAAAAGCAAATCCCCCCAAAAGTGAAAACAGCGAGGTTGGGATGTACGTATCCATAAAGCACATGCACAAAGCACATCCACATTCACAAACCAGGTACACTTTAGATTTCACAATTCACCATTCACAAATCACAAGCACGCATCCAAGCACATTCATTCACAAAGCACAATCCACACATTAAATTCCAGACCAGCACTCGTGAAGTTCAAAAATATAAGTAAACCACAACTCACCCATACGTAGGGATCCACAAACCACTATTCATAACCTTGAGACCTAAAAATACCTACATCTATGTACCTACGAAGTAGGTATGCATAAAATCTTTCTTTCCTTCTTTCTTTCTTCCTTCCATGCAGATACCTACCATCATCATGTAAGACGGATAATAGCATAAGACAGGTGTGCATGAAATAGTATAATACAAGGTAAGTTACCTTGGTGGATATATCCTATATCGATCCACACACATACATACACACTCTCTCTCCCATGAACAATCAATCCCATCTATTCACAAATAACTCCGAACCCGAAAGCACCACACACACGCGCGCGCGCACTTATCCCCCATCCACCCATTTCCCAGATAAGACAAGACAAGACAAGATGTTTTCCAACTTTCCTAGGTTTAGGTATGAATCCATCCATTAACTACCTACATGCCTACATGCCTATCAAACGTATCAAACCTACATACATATATACACCCACCCATCCATCCATCCATCCATTCATACAAATATAAAGATATAAAGATAATGATATGATGCACAAGTTAATTTACGTCCATCAAGTCAAGTTAAACCAAATTAAATCAAGCTAAACCAAGCTAAAATAAGCTACAACCCACCTCCCCTCTCCTCCCCTTCCCTCCCGTCCCGTCCCCTACCCCCCAAAAGTATTCCGCTCTTCCATTCCCTCATCCAATCATCCATTCAATCATTCAATCATTCAATCAACTACGTCCCGCATAGCCTAGCCTAGCCGATCCCATTCCACACCACTCAACCAACTACCCTACATGCATAAGTACACACAACCCTCCAATCCTCTAACCAACCAATCCACAGACCACCCGGCCCCCCAACCTCATTTCCCAGCTCCACGGATCAAAAGATCAAACCCTATATTCTCAAGTCTCGAGGACATACATAACATACCATACTAAAGAGACCCCTCCCCTAGATACGAAAATGCAAGCGAGGATGTACCACCACCGCAAAAAAAAGATGCACGCATACAAAACAGACTAACCAGACGCCGGCCAGCCAACCAGCCAACCTGTCCATCCCATCCCAAACCCCATGACATCATACCACCTTCCTCTTCCTCGTAACAACCCCCCAGATCCAAATATTATATCTGCCACTGATGAAAATTAAGAAGCATACACACATATCTAGAGCCATAAACGCTAAAGAAAAATTGTCGAAAAAGCCTTGAGAAAATGATTGAATAGCATTTGGGTATAGAGGTATCAATATTGCAAATCTCATAGCCAAGTCATAGCCAAGCATGCCGCCCATTAGAAAATCCCGAGTACAGTACCGCCTTGTCCTGACGCTAGAAATAACAATTGAAACCTCCAAAGTACGCTAAATCATGATAAACAATCCAAAGTAATCCCATCCAAACGCTACCCAAATATCAGACCTAAATACAAAGGAAATTGGTTAAAAACTCGGGCTCAAGCTTCCTTCAAGTCATTCGAGGAAATCGAAGTTTCGTATAGGACATCAATGCACTGTGTAATCAGTGGTCGACGATATCCGATGTGACGATGAAAACACTAGACACAATCACAGGTACTAGTCCCGGTACATGAGATCTACTGTATATACCACAATATTGAATTGCGCGAAGAGGTGGATGAAGCTTGAGAGGGAATAATAGAAAACAAAGAGTTAATAATGCCAAAAACCTAAACTCCATCGCTGGTAAATCACAATGTCCCTTTCCCAATAGTCGCAGAAGAAAAAAAAGGGAAAAATCGTGATAATAAAGTAAATCTGTCTTGTTTCATGAATTCGTGACATTCTTGCAAATAGAATGTAAGTCGGGTATCGTTAAAAGAAATTGACTCGAGGTGTGATATCTACACAAAAGGTATGAACCAACGAAATCAATCCTTCAAAATGCATTGTTGTGTACACTGATCTGA